AACTGGTCTACCACCTAGGTAGGTCCAACTGGTCTACCAACTAGTTAGGACCAACTGGTCTACAAACTACTCGGGATCAACTGGTCTACCACCTAGGTATGACCAACTGGTCTACCACCTAGGTAGGTCCAACTGGTCTACCAACTAGTTAGGACCAACTGGTCTACAAACTACTCGGGATCAACTGGTCTACCACCTAGGTAGGTCCATCTGGTCTACCAACTACTCGGGACCAACTGGTCTACAAACTACTCGGGATCAACTGGTCTACCACCTAGGTATGACCAACTGGTCTACCACCTAGGTAGGTCCAACTGGTCTACCAACTAGTTAGGACCAACTGGTCTACAAACTACTCGGGATCAACTGGTCTACCACCTAGGTAGGTCCATCTGGTCTACCAACTACTCGGGACCAACTGGTCTACCACCTAGGTAGGTCCAACTGGTCTACCAACTAGGTAGGACCAACTGGTCTACCCCCTAGGTAGGTCCAACTGGTCTACCAACTACTCGGGACCAACTGGTCTACCACCTAGGTATGACCAACTGGTCTACCACCTAGGTAGGTCCAACTGGTCTACCAACTAGGTAGGACCAACTTGTCTACCCCCTAGGTAGGTCCAACTGGTCTACCAACTACTCGGGATCAACTGGTCTACCACCTAGGTAGGTCCAACTGGTCTACCAACTAGTTAGGACCAACTGGTCTACAAACTACTCGGGATCAACTGGTCTACCACCTAGGTAGGACCAACTGGTCTACCACCTAGGTAGGACCAACTGGTCTACCACCTAGGTAGGACCAACTGGTCTACCAACTACTCGGGACCAACTGGTCTACCAACTACTCGGGACCAACTGGTCTACCACCTGGGTAGGTCCAACTGGTCTACCAACTAGGTAGGACCAACTGGTCTACCTCCTAGGTAGGACCAACTGGTCTACCACCTACACAGGACCAACTGGTCTACCAACTACACAGGACCAACTGGTCTACCAACTACACAGGACCAACTGGTCTACCAACTAGGCAGTACCAACTGATTGAATCTGTCTCACACATACACACACTCACACAAGGCATATGACTCAGTGTTGCCTGTGGGCTGAGTCTGAGGGCTGAGATACCACTGCCCATCCCAACATGTGGAGGGGAAACTGCTTTTAACGTTCCCCTTGAGTCCTGATTCCCTCCCTGCTGTGATGACATCAGGGCCCTTCTCCTGTCCACACAGAGGGGGAAAACTCCACACGGATGACCCCGGTCTATACCCAGGAACCACTGGCCACTCAACTCTGACCTCTCCTGTCTGTATAGGTTCCGTCTCCTTTTGGGGGAATTTCACTTCCTTTTTGTGCATTGTGCATGGTCCCATACTTCAGAAATATTTTTTTTACTTGTTTAGTTTAATCATGTGTCAGTCTTACAAAGATATTTGAAATAATGTGAACACCTGTTTCTCCTATACTTGAAGCAAAGAGTACAAAACATGGTTGAGCAAAACACACCAAAAGGAGCGGATCTATTCAAGAATATTATGACAGAAAGCAAACTGTCAAGTATTTGGAAGACAGATTTCCAGCTAGTGTTCTGAAGGCATTCTAGCTAGGTGGAGTACCTATTCTAATAAACATGTGCATCACTCAGAATACTCTGCAGCTCACTTTTGTGTGGCAAAATGACAGCTGGTAAAGGAAGTATGGACAGACCCAAATTCTAGATAAAGTCCTTTGTACAGAAGATCCACAGAAGCAAGTGCTGTCAGAAGTATACCAACGTTCCCCTTCCTCTCCCCTCAACAACCACCACCAAATTCCTTCATAGGACTTCACAGATACCTAAGATCAGATTGAAATATTCTGATCTACATGCTTAATCTGAATCATTTAGGTGGAAAAAAACAACTTAAGGGTTGAATTGACTTCTGTCTTCAAATCTTGACTGAACCTTTTCTACAATGGCATCAATTAACACCTAAGGATTTTTGAAAAGAAAATTCCATTATTTATTTTCTTTCTTGAGAGCTGTTTTTTCCCTCCTCGTTTGGAAGATTTGCAGTATTTTGCTTCCATCTGAGCCAGAAAAGTTGTCCATTTCCTTTGGCCAATCCTTTTGCCTGCTTTGAATGAGTGCTTTCAAGTTATCTTCTTCAAGCCCCAACTCCTTCTTGCTCAATTCTGCTTCTTTAGCCTCTTCCTGAACCCTCCTTGTCCTTGCATTCATCTTTTGCTTCGATTCTTTGACAAAGATATTATAGGATGGGACTGCTCCAGCATCAATGGCTTGCTGAATAATGTTCCTTATCCTGGGTTCCTCTGTGTATTGCACACACAGCACACACTCCAGGATCTGATTCATGTCCCCTTTAAAGTTCATATAGGCCTGTTTAGTATCAGCCAGCTCTTTTTCAGAACCTTTGTATGTCTTTTCAAAAGCTTGAATGTCTTCTAGAGATTTTTTTTTTTTTTTTTTTTTTTGCAGTTTAAAAGGTCTCACATTTATTACTGAACCAATCTACTGCAGGGGAAAAAAATCATGCCTCCAAAAATTTCCCAATTAAAATGCCCAACTGTCAAGACAGTAGTGATAATTTCAGTGATTATGGTAAGATGCAGCAAGCTAGATACAGCATAAATGTGTCAGCCATCTCTCATGTGTGATTCCTTATAGACCCAGTATGGCTCTCCAATGTCTCCTCTTGGAGATGTACCTGATTTTATTACCAGTTTTCATCCAAATCCATTGGGGAATGGGCCTATTCTGCTTTTGTTTCTTGGCCAGGAACCTCTTGATCCTGAAAGTCTTATGAGAAGACATGGCATAAGAGAAAGAGAATCAATCGCACGCACCACGATGGCGGATTTTGTTTACTAGACTAGGCAAAGAACTTTATTAACCTGTTTCAAACTTTATTCCCAGGCCTCTTCAGCTTAATTAGTTGCAAAGAATGATTTATGTATAAGCAAAAACTGAAAAAAGCTTCAATGTCCAGCAGGGTTGGGCTAAAAAATATTAGAGATCTAGATTTTATCAGATCCATAAACCAAATTTGAAAAAAAGCAGTCATAATATGAAATAGCAGTTCCCAGTAACTTCTTCAAGATTATCTTCTTCAGACGTTGACTCAATTCAGTTTGCCTCATTCTTGGAAGCCTCATCAAAATTCTCCACAAGATCTGGAACTTCGTCATCATCATCCTCTCCAGTAGTAAGGGGTGCTTTTCCATCCACAGATTGTTTGGGCAGAGCTTCAGCCAGTCTCCTTAAACTAGTCAGACTGTCTGCACCAAGCTGGTTTAAGATGCTGGGTAGCATTGCTGTCAGCTGCTTAGTCTCAGCATGGCCTGTAATGGCGAAAGTGTTCACTGCCAGAGATGCCTGAACTTTAGGATTGTTAAAGTAGATCACTGTTCCTTGGTTTGTGAACATATTTACCTCCTCAATACCAGAAATATTATTTACCCCTAACTTCTTTAGGGAGAACTGAAGTTTTTTTTATCATCTGCTGTAGCTGTTCTGTGAACCACCTTCTTCTTTCTATGAGCAGTTTCTTTCCCACCAAAGCGCACTTTTGCCTGCAGTTTGGCGAGTTTCTCCTGGTTCATGATCATTTCTTTCATCTTGTTGGAGACTAAACAGGGCCGCGCGGGGGACTAGGGTTGGCGCTTAGGGGGTCTTGGGCAGACCAGCTGAGAATAAGCGCACACACGCGGGGACGCAAGATGGCAGCTCTGGAGATACCTTTTTAAAGAGCAACCTCCAATACGTCTCCCGGTTCCGATCTTGGTTGAGCACATCCGAATCCTCGTCCACTGTTCCCTGCTCATCGTACACTGCTCTCTGCTCTTGGTCACTCAGAACGGAATAGACTTCCCCGAGGACCTGGAAGCGGCGGGTGGCATCCTCCTTGTCGTCCTCCCCACGCGGTCCGGGTGCACTTGCAGGGACACCTTGTGGTACCCGCGTCGCACCTCGCCACCCGAGGCCTTTCGCTGCACACCCAACACCCGGTCAATGTCAGGGGTCCCGAACACTTCCTCGCACTGCTCCAGCAGCCCCATGGCCAGCGAAAGTGTGGAGTTGGCAGCAGCTTCCTCGAAAACAGTGAGACCGGCGGCACTTAAGTTCCGAACTGCTTCCATTTCCCGCACAAAACGCCCAGGGCGCCGGCATCACAAGAGGCACCCAAAGGGGCGTGGCCACGACGCCGCACTTTACGGCTACTGCAGAGGAGCCTGGAAGGGCTAGCGTCCAAGAGCTTTGAAACAGAGTCACTTTACAGCGGCTGCAAAGAGGAGCCTGGAAGGGCTAGCGTCCAAGAGCTTTGAAGCAGAGTCACTTTACGGCGGCTGCAAAGAGGAGCCTGGAAGGGCTAGCGTCCAAGAGCTTTGAAGCAGAGTCACTTTACGGCGGCTGCAAAGAGGAGCCTGGAAGGGCTAGCGTCCATGAGCTTTGAAGCGGAGTCACTTTACGGCGGCTGCAAAGAGGAGCCTGGAAGGGCTAGCGTCCAAGAGCTTTGAAGCAGAGTCACTTTACGGCGGCTGCAAAGAGGAGCCTGGAAGGGCTAGCGTCGACGAGCTTGGAAGCGGAGCAGAGCGGAAGTCCTGATTTCTCCTACCACGGGAGCCACCTGACTCAGCGGAAGCAGAAGTAGCCTTATAGAAGCCACGCCCCTTCCCCCATGCGCTCCTCCCCTTACTCCAGAAATCTGGTGCCTATCTTCTCCCACTGCGGAATCTTCAATACGTGCAAGTCCATATTAGGTTGTTTGTTTCTTGGCAAAAAAAAAAAAAACAGCGTGACATCACATTTGGCAGTTCACGCGGTTCATATACATGTTGTTTTTTCCAAAGAATAAGAATTAAATAGATTTGTTCTTTTTCAAAGATGATCCTGACAAGACGATATGGAGCTCCATGGCCAGAATAATTTTGCAACCTGTAGGGTGGGGCTGCTGGGTGGGTACTTCCCTTGAGCTCTGGTTCATGCGACTGTGCTCACTGAAGCCAGCTTGCTTTTGTTTCTGCAGCCTTTGCATCTGTTTTCTGTGACGCGAAGAGGATTTCACGTGCCCGTTTCCGTCGCAGCCTCTCAGCATTTGTGATCAGCACGGGAGGCAGAGGGAAAAAGCCAGAAAGACCCAGAAGCTTTTCCACAAGTTTGGAGAGACGGACCCCACAGCCGATCCAGTGCCGGCCATCGCTGGGATACTTGTTGGGAGCCGCCACGATGTGGTAGAAAGGCCGGTTGGTGCAACTACCCAGGGAAAGAAGGATGGTTAAGCGGCCTCCACGGTAGGCCTTGTGGAGCAGAGCAGGGAGCTGGACCATGGTGCAGCCGGTGTGCGCCAGTGGCAGTCCCTCCCGACGTCCCGCCACCCGCAAGGCCCAACTCTACCGCCTAAAGTGGCGGTGGAGGGTCGCGCAGGGTCAACGCTGTGAAACCGCGGGCATAACCGCGCCGAGCCCCCCACACCTATTTCAGAAATACTGTACAGAGCCTTTCTCAGACGAGGAGCAGGTGAGGGTTCCTAAGTGGGTCTAGCAATCATCCCATGTTTTGTGGATTTTCAACAACACCTCTCATGTCTCACCTCACGTCTTAGGCAGGTGTGGAAATGAACAAGGACGGCTCCCTCCATGTCCCCGGGGGCAAGGACTCCAAAACCACTCTAAGGCCCTGGGTTACTGACAACCTGCTGCAGGTGGGGACACAGAGACTCAAGAAACTGCACGTTGCAAGGGGCAGTTCTCACCTGCAAGGGGCTTAAGGTCACACAAGAAATGGGCCACGGAGGAATCAATCAATAAGCATGTTTTATTCCCCAAATCAGAGCAATGACAAACGTACTGTCCACTAAACCTGAAGACAAGGTCACAGGACAAGGAGGAGAGACCTTCCCAAGGGGCAAGGATGCTGAGGAGCAGGAATGACTCACAAGCTTCTTCCCACGTTGATGGGATGGGTGCCTGAAACACCAATCAGAAAGAATATATGTACCCCCATGTTTGTAGCAGCACTATTTACAATTGCTAAGATCTGGAAACAGCCCAAATGTCCATCAGTAGACAAATGGATAAAAAAGCTGTGGTACATGTACACAATGGAGTACTATGCAGCTGTAAGAAAGAAAGATCTATTATCCTTTGAGATGATATGGAGGGACCTGGAAAGTATTCTCCTAAGCGAAACAAGCCAAACAGAGAAAGACATGATCTCACATGATCTCACTTATTTATGGAATATAATGAACATAACAGTCTGAGGAATTGGGTAGACCAAGAGACATGGAAGTAGGGTACAGACTGACAACCCTCAGAAGAAGGGGTGTGGGGGGAGGGAAGAGATAAACCACAGAACTTATATGCATGTACGCAGAACCGATGGACACAGACAACAAAGCCGGGTATGGGGTGGGGGTGGGGGCTGGCGAGGAGGGTGTCAATGGGGAAAAAAGGGAGAAACATTTGAAACAAACATAAATTAATAAAAAATAAAAACAAATAGTTCCTTTTAAATTTTCCAGCCTGCTTCGAACTGATTGAGATTTATTTGTTTAATATAATTTCATCAAACAATTTGGAGGTTATATATTCATTTCAAATTTGCGTAGTACCAACTTTGTTAGTATTGGTATTTATATTTAAAATTCTGAACCATTTTATATTATCTTTTTTAGGTAAGAAAAGGTCATTACACATTAGCTGAACTCCTTGGGCCTAATTTGAAAATCTCTGTGTTTATGGGACTCACACATACATACACTCGCACCAAATATTTTCTAACCTTCCTTGAATTTAAATGTATATGTGAATATATGCACAAATATACTTTTCCTAAGTTTATTTGTTTTGCCGTTACTTTTCTCACTTTTGCAACTCACTGTCTCTATTTTTGTCTATAATATTGTTGAGTTAATTACTATTTTCATGTGCTTTTAGTGAGTGTGTAAACAATAAAAGATTTGAGACCATGTATGTCTGCAAATGATTTATTTCCAATTAGATACTGGAAATTTTTCTTATATCTAATAGACGATATAATTCCAATACAAAGAAGTAGAAATTCTCTGAAGCTAAGGATCGACCACCAAAACCCTCCTCACTCCTCATTCTCCTGAAGATGGAACCTGGTGTGTGAATTTCACACATGAGACATGAGTTTCTGGATGTCAGATGGGCCCCCATCTTCTCATTCTAACAGACTTCTCCCCTCAGACTCTTTCACTTTGGCCTTTTAATAAAAATGTGGATGAGTCTAGAATTCTTCATTTACAATTCCGTATTTGAATGGACTTTTGACATTATATTTCTGCTTGAATGTGACTTCCCATCAATTTTCACCTCTTGTCATGAATATCAAGACACACATTTCATGTATACATTCATGCACCCTGGCGCTGCATGTTTTCTGCACTTCTCTGTAAAATACCCAACCATTGGCCTCTAGGACTGTAGCAGACGTCATCCTCACTGCTTTCCTCCTGAACTCACACTACCCTTTGGCCTCTCTCTCTCTCTATTCTCCTGGGTCTTAACTTTCTCATTCCAGTCTCTCTGTATTGCAGTCTACAAAATCTCCCCAACGCTGTCTTCCAATTTCATAATTGTATCTTCATCTGTATCTGCTCCCTGATGGAAAGAATATTTTGAGTGTGCTAAATAAAATTATTTTCGTTTGGGGCATTTTTACCCCTAAGATATTTGCACAATTCATTACTAAAATGTCACGTTCTTTTTCCATATAACCCCGATTGTTGTTGTGCAAGAATTCAAATTTTCTTATGTTATCAGACATTTGAATGTTCTTCCATTAAAATGACTTCCACGTGTTTCTAGAGGTCTGTTTTCTTGGACATAATGACTCCCACTGTGACTCTGTGCACAGCCTTCCATAGCATCGTGTCTTCACTACAACTGCACATTTGCAGGAATCTCCAACCTTTTATGTTCCCATGCCCACAGGTAGTTCTGACACACACTGAAAATCTCCTTTGTGTTCAAGAAGTATATTATACAGTTGATCTAGGACAGGAGAACTCTTCATGCTTCTGAATCTCAGATTTTCAAGGTGCAATAGTCAGTTCTATAACTTCCTGCTCCCGATCCCCTCCCTGCCTGTGATGACATCAGGGTCCCTCTTCTGTCCCCACAGACAGAGAAAACTCCACACTGATGATCTTCGCTATGCCCAGGTACCAGTGGCCACTCAACTCTGACCTCCCCGTCTGTACATGTCCTCTCTCCATTCGGGGGGATTTCACTTCCTTTTTGTGCTTTGAGCATGAACGCATATTTCAGAAATACTGTACAGAGCCTTTCTCAGACGAGGAGCAGGTGAAGGTTCCTAAGTGGGTCTAGCATCGTCCATGTTGTGTGGATTTTCAAGAACACCTCTCATGCCTCACCTCACGCGCCTTAGGCAGGTGTGGAAATGAACAAGCACGGCTCCCTCCATGTCCCGGGGGCGAGGACTCCACAACCACTCTCAGGCCCTGGGTTCCTGACAACCTGCTGCAGGTGGGGACACGGAGACTCAGGAAACTGCACGTTGATGCTTAAGGTCACCAGAAATGGGCCACGGAGGAATCATTCCATAAGCATGTTTTATTCCCCAAATCAGAGCAATGACACACGTACTGTCCACTAAACTTGAAGACAAGGTCACAGGATAAGGAGGAAGAGATCTTCCCAAGGGGCAAGGGTGCTGAGGGGCAGGAATGACTCACAGGCTTCTTCCCACGCTGATCAGATGGGTGCTGTGGTCAGAAGGGGAAGCTCACCAGGGGCTGAGAGAGAAAGAGGACCCACACTCTGGGGCCAGGAGAAGAACCCATTTTTCTTGTCTCCTTTCCCTGCATTTCTCCTCTGTGCTCATTGTCACAGTGATACTCACCCGAACGGCACAGTTGATGGTGAGCGTGTCTCTGTGGATCTGAGCTCTGCAGACCACAGGAACCCACGTCTTCCTGAAGCATCTCCAAGACCCGGTGACCACTGTCCATGGTGAGGGCCCCACAGGGAGATGCTGATGGACGACGTGAAGATAAAGGAGGACCCCACGTGGGAGGCTCTGATAGGGAAGGATGTGCCCTGGGTCCCCTCACCTGCAAGGGGCATCTCAGGAGGCTCCAATCTACTTCCTGATCCACCAGGAACAGGTGCTAGGCTTCTGGGGATGGAAGGTTCCCCTTCCCCAGGGGCTGGTGACATGATAACCCAGAGACAGCGAGGGCCAGCCCTTGAGTGACCACACCCTGGGGTCCATCTGTCCCTTCCTGCTAAAGCCATTACACACAGAATCTGTGTAATACGTACCCCCCCAGAAGACTGAAACATATTGAAAAGTAAATAAATAATGGTGAATGTGTTCTCTTGTAAATAATAATAACAATAATAATAACAATAATAATAATAAAGACGAGGGGACATCCAATGGAGATATTACTGCTCAGTTCACACAGGCAGGAGGTGGTACACATATATTTAAATAAAGATGAATTTCCCTCGACAATCAAAGCTCCAGACCAAATCACTGAACCTTAATTTTTAGGAAAAAGCCATGAAACTGGGGACAGCTCTGCCTAAGGAGCAGGGGCACTGAGGAGGATCAGGACCCAGAGGCTGGTGCCCAGGGAGGAGGGGCTGGAGGCTGTCGCTAAGGAAAAGGAGAAGTTCATGAAAACATGAGATAGAAAGCCCAAACTCTGGGGCCACAGGGGGATGTGTTTCTTTCCCTCATTTCCCTGCATTTCTCCTCTTTGATCATTGTCACAGGGACACGCGCCTGCCCTGCTCAGTTACAGGGTGAACGTGTCTCTGCTGATCTCAGCCCCATGGGAACCCACGTCTTCCTGAAGCATCTCCAGGACCTGACAACGTCCGAGGTGAGGACCCCAGGGAGGTGCTGAGGGATGGTCTGAGGATGATGGAGACCCCACGGGGGGAGGCTCTGACAGGGAAGGATGTGCCCTGGGTCACCTCACCTGTTACCTGCTTCGTGATGAAAGTGAGTCAGGGTGCTAGAATGAGGCTCCCCTATAGGCTGCAGATGTGACATCCTGGTGACCAGCAGGCTCGGACTCCAAGGGACCACCACCTGTTGTCTCTCTCTCCGTCCTGCATGTCTGTCTGTCCATCTTTCTGGCACCATGGTCCCTTCCATCTGCTCAGCTGACCCCAGAGGGACAGGACGTCATGACCCCCACACTCACCACCCTCCTCTGCCTGGGTGAGATGTGATGGGGGAGGGGAAGCCCTGCTCTGTCAGAAGTTCCTGAAACTCAGCAGGCTCACAGGAAGGAGGGTTCTTGTCAGGGGTCAGGGCGAACTTCTCACAGGGACTCTCTTCCAGGGCTGAGCCTGGGCCTCAGGACCAGAGTGCAGGCAGGTGAGTCTGTCCCCAGGTCTCCCAGGTCTCACTCCCTCTGGACACAAGGACACCCCCAGGGAGATGGGGAAGGAGGAGAGCAGACCTGTCTGACAGTCGAGGGACATCGGGGACGGGGAGCTGGGGACTGGGGTGGGAATGTCTTAGGACCCAGCCTCTGATTCCTTCCAGGGACCCTCCCCAAACCTACCCTCCAGGCTGAGCCAGGATCTCTGATCCCCCTGGGGAGCCCCGTGAACATCACATGTCAGGGGACTCTGGGGGATGAGCAGTATCGTCTGGATAAAGAGGGAAACACACCTCCATGGAAAACACAGAAGCCACCGAACCCCGGAGACAAGGCCACGTTCTCCATCACACGGACGACAGACCATGATGCAGGGAGATATTGCTGTTACTATCGCAGCCCCTCTGGCGAGTCAGAGCACAGTGACCCCCTGGAGCTGGTGGTGACAGGTGAGGGGACACTCAGGGGTCCCAGCTTCAGGCTCTGCCCTCAGGAAGGGGCTGCTCTCAGGACCTCTGCCCTCTCACATCCCAGCCCACGAGGGAGGTGTGACCCCATTTAACATGCTGTCTCCTCCCCTCCTAGGATCCTACAGCAAACCCAGCCTCTCAGCCCTGCCCAGCCCTGTCGTGACCTCAGGAGGGAACGTGACCCTGCTGTGTCAGTCAAAGTACCCGACGAACACTTTTCTTCTGTCCAAGGAGAGGGCAGCCGATCCCCCCCGCGTCTTCCATCAGAGCACCAAGCTCAGCAGTACCAGGCAGAGTTCTCCATGAGTCCTGTGACCTCCACCCACGGGGGCACCTACAGGTGCTACAGCTCACTCAGCACTGCCCCCTACCTGCTGTCACCGCCCAGTGAGCCCTGGAGCTGCGGGTCTCAGGTGAGGGGCCCCTGGCCTGTCCTTCAGTGCTGTCTGCTCAGGGTCCTGTCCCCAGAAGAACGATGAGCTGAAAGAGAGGGAGGGAGGTCTGTAGGGATGGACACCCAGAAGACATCTGCCCCTCAGAGACCCTCCTACCCACGGGTACCCCTTCCGCTCACCTCGGTGGAGAAGATGCCACGTGGGCCATGGGAGGGGCTCTAGGGTGCTCCGGGCAGATGGAGGAGGAGTCTGAGTGAGGTGGGGTCTCCAGGGTCAGCCCCAGACTCTCACCCTCTTCTATCCTCTTCCAGGACCCTCTGTTCACCCCAGCCCCCCACCCACAGGGCCCATCTCCACAGCTGGTGAGTCATGGAGCCTGTTTGCTCAGAGGGAGCACAGACCACCCCGGATGCTTCTGATTCCCTCAGAGGGTCTCATGCCCCCGACACTTAAGGACAGACTGTGTCCCAGGGGTTGGGAGCAGGGGATAGATTGTGGATGAACCCAGGGGGTTCAGGGCTCTGAGGATTCACCCCACAATGGATAGGCCTATAGAGGGTTAAGTGAGGCAAGTGACAGTTGGGGTGGTGATGGCCCAGGGAGACATTGGGGCCCCGGATGGGGAGGAGCAACTGAGCTCAAGTGGGGAGAAGACACCCCCACCACCACCAATCCAGATCCCAGGAGGCTCTGAGGATGGGTCCCTTCCCCACACGGAGTCAGGCCTGCAGCGGGGTAACTGAGGGTCTCTGTGGGGAGGTGGTGGGGGTGTTCATGAGGGACAGGGGCTGAGTCATGAGGGGTTCAGGCCCCTCTGCAGACACTGACTTGGATGCTCCCTTCCCCTGCCTGGGCCACAGGGTCCCCAAGTGTAAAAGGACAGATTCATGGCCCAGAGCTTAGATTTCCGTTCAGTTCTGGCTCTGACCTCCTGGGGGAGGGGGCCTCACAGGAACACCCAGGACGTGGTGTGGGGACTGTCCCCTCTGTAGCAGTGATGGTGACATGCACAGGGAGGGGCAGGCAGGACAAGGGTCTGGGGCATCCAGGTCCTTTCACTCAGCCCAGGCTCAGCTCAGAGGAGAGAGGGCTGGAGTCAGACCTGGTTCAGTTCCCAGCTCTGCTGCTCCTGCTGTGGGGTCAGGTGGTCCCTTCTCTTCCCTGAGTGTTGGGTCATGTCTCTCCATCCCGGGTCCCCTCCTGCTCACAGGCTGCTGTCACATAAGGTGACATAAGGGGCCCCACAGAGCTCAGGAAGGCAGAGGCCCAGCCCACCCGACCTTCCTAGGGGGCCTCTGCAGGGTGGAGATGGATCCAGGGGAGACAAAGAGGCCACCCCACACCCCTGCTCTTCCCGTGTCTCTGCTGTGCTGAGAGTGGGGAATAAGGAAGGACCCTCAGCTCACATGAGACATGGACAGGCCCCTGCAGATGAGGAGCCCAGAGCACGAAGCTGAGGTCCCTCTGGGGCAGCATGAGGAGAGCACAGGGCACCCACAGTCCCGGGTTCCAGTCCCCACCCTGCACCATCCAGGCTGGGTGACCTGGGGAAGGTGACTGACCCCTCTGAGCCCCTTGACCTGGGTGGTGGGGCACCGTCCCTGGTGCATGACTGTGTGAGGGGAGAGGGATGAATGACAGACCCCAGCAGGTGCCTCACATAGTGGGTGCTCATTAAATGACATCATAGGCTTATTCATGACATCATAAGGGAGAGAAGAGCTCCCCTGATATATTGGAACTGATTCCTTTCCAGAAGGTGTCCCCAAACCCTCCATCTGGGTGGATCCTGGCCCCTTGGTCACCACGGGGAGCCCTGTGACCATCTGGTGTCAAGAATCTCTGCAGGCTACTGCCTACGTTCTATATAAAGAGAGGGGCTCTGAGCCCTGGGATACGAAGACCCCACAGAACCTCAGCAACAAGACCGGTTTCCTCATTGAATCCTCCAGCTCACAGCATGCAGGGCCCTACGAGTGTGCGTATTACACCGCTGAGCGCAAACTCTCAGAACGGAGTGACCCCCTGCTCCTGGTGGTGACAGGTAAGCGGAACCCGGGTGCCCTCCCCACTGTGGCTTCCCTCACACTCAGGAAATAAAATGGGGGCTCATGGGGACCTCACCCCACAGTCCACACTGGGAACATGTGGGTGATGGTCCCTTTAACACAGATCCCCCTTCTCCCTCAGGAGTGGAGAGAGCACCCTCCCTCTCAGCCCAGCCAAGCCCTGTGGTGGCCTCAGGAGGGAGCGTGTCCCTCGTGTGTCGCTCACAGGACACATCGGGCACTTTCCATCTGCTGAAGGAGGGAGGAGCTGACCCGCCCCGACACATGGAACCGCAATCGAGGCCCAGTGCTGGGAGGACCTATGCCCAGGCCACCTTCCCTGTGGGCCCCGTGAACTCCTCCCACGGGGGGACCTACAGATGCTATGGTTCCCCCAGATCCTACCCCAATCTGTGGTCACACCCCAGTGACCCTCTGCATCTCGAGGTCACAGGTGAGTGGAAACACTGTGCAAACCCATGTGTTTCCTGAGCCCAAAATGACTGACCTAGGCTTGTGCCCAGTGGAGCCCTGGGGCCCGGGGGCCAGTGACACTGGCCTCTGGGGGACAGAACCTCAGGCGGGAGGTTAGGGAGGGACAGGAGAGGACTCTCCCTGCAGCCCCAGTGGGCAATGGGGTGTGTGCCCCCTGATGCCACGTCCCCTTCTCCCAGGTGTGCACAGGGAGCCCTCCCTCTCGGCCCAGCCGGGCTCCCTGGTGCTGCCTGGAGACAGCCTGACCCTGCAGTGTGGCTCGGAGGCTGGCTTTGACAGATTCGCTCTGACCAAGGACCAGGGGCTCACACACCCTCAGCGCCTTGATGGGCAGCACAGCCCCGACTTCCTGCTGGGCCATGTGGACCACACCCACGGGGGCCGGTACAGATGCTACAGTGGACACAGCCTCTCCTATGCGTGGTCAGCACCCAGCGCCCCCCTGGACATCCTGGTCACAGGTGAGGAGCCCAGCCCTGGCGCTGTCCTGACTGTCTGCTCAGGGAGCTGGGGACAGGGTCCCCTGGTGGTGCTGGGGGCAGGAGAGGGTCCTGGGGCAGAGGCTGAGAAGGGGCAGAGGTGCAGAGGGAGGGAGTGACAAAGGCGGAGTGAGGGGCTCAGACATAGAGACACCTCCCCGGGGGCACTGAGAGGAGCTGAGAAGGATCACAGACAGCGTCCCTGGGGAAGGACATGGTCCCTCAGCTCAGGGTCAAGGGTATATGGGAGGAGGCAGCTCTCTACACATCACACCTTCCCTCCCCAGGAATGTACACGAAACCCTCCCTCTCCATCCTGCTGGGCCCCTCAGTACCCTGGGGAGCGAACGTGACCCTGCAGTGTGGATCTGAGATCTGGTTTGACACCTTCCACCTGTACCGGGAGGGGTCTCTGGATCCCCCCCAGCACCTTCCTGTGCAGAAGACGACTGCACCCTCTCAGGCCAACTTCCCCATCAGTCCTGTGACCTCAGCCCACAGGGGCACCTACAGGTGCTATGGTTCACGCAGTGCCTCCCCCTACCTGCTGTCACAGCCCAGTGACCCCCTGGAGCTCCTGGTCTCAGGTGAGGACCCCCAGCCCTGCCCCTTGTGTCCTCATGGTCAGTTCAGGACCCAGTTTCCAGGCCACCATGGGCTGGAATAGCAGTGAGGGGGTCACAGGAGGGGCAGCCAGAGAGGACCTCACCTCCCAGAGGGATGGAAAAATTCAGAGCAACTCCCACCCCTGCCTCATCGTCACCCCCATCCCTGAGGCCCAGACATGTTCCCGGTGGGCAGAGGGAAGCTGGAGAGACTCGGACTGACCAAAAGGGGAAAAGGTCAGAGGTACCCATCCCGACCCCCTTCAGTCTCCAGTCCTGAGTCCACACCTTGAGAGACCAAGACAAGAGTGGGGACTAGCAGAGGCCTTGGGCCCCAGAGAGGACAAGACCCCCTGCTGGGGCATGGCTGGTCTCCCAGGGGGTGGGGCCTGGCAGACATACTGGGGACCCACAGGGCTCCAGGACTCTGAGGCTGGCAGGTGACAGGTGGGGTGGTCATGCTGTGGTCCCACCCTGAGGAGGAGCAGCTGGATGGAAATGGGGAGAGGAAACAGCTCCTACCCCTCAGCTCCCATCTGATCCCAGGAGGCTCTGAAAATTGGTGCCCCTGAGTGAGGCCCAGGGAGGGCTCAGTGAGTGTCTGTGGGGAGGGGGTGAGGGAGGAGCTCGGTTTGGTCTTGGCTCAGCCACTTCCTGGGAATAATGGCCTGAGGAAAGTTCCTTCTCCTCACTAGAACCCATTTCTCCTAAGAAGCTTGGACACTGTGTGTGTGTGCATATGTGTGTGTGTACAGGTGTGTGCATGAGTGTGTTGTGTGCGTACAAATGTGTGTGCATGCAAACGTGTGTGCATGTCCGTCTGTGCTGGGGACACCGACGGTGTCTGAGCTCTCCTCCACCAGCCTTCAAGGAGCTGCAGTGAAGTCAGGAAAGAAGCCACAACCCTGGTTCAAATCCCAGCTCTGCCCCTTCCCCAGTGGGATCTCAGACAATGTGTTCCTCCCGAGTCCTAGGTTCATGGGTGTGCACGGGTCTCCCGCCACCCCCCTCACAGTGACAGCCTTCAGCTTGCAGCCTGACCCTGGTTACAGCTCAGGAAGGACACAGACCTCCCCCTGCCCTTCCCAGACACACACACTCCATGTGCACACAGGCCCCACTGCGGTGGGTGGGGTGTCAGTCTGCAGTGTGGGAGCTGGGTCTGGCCTGGTCTGGAGACTGTTGGTGATTGGCTTTGGTGACAAGTCTCTGCACTGGTGTTCTACCTGGTGCATACAGGGACTGCATAGATAATATTTAATAATTAATAATAATAATAACACACAAACCCTGGCCGGTTTGGCTCAGCAGTTAGAGCGTCGGCCTGCGGTCCAGAGAGACACAGGTTCAATTCCCGCTAAGGGCATGTACCTTGGTTGCGGTTTGTCCCCAGCCCTGGTTGGGTCGTGCGGGTGGCAGCCACTCGCTATGTCCCTTTCACATCCATGTTTCTCTCTCTCTCTCTCTCTTCCTCTCTCTCCCTCCCACTCTATCTGAACAAAAAAAAAAGGAAAAAATATGTCCTCGGGTGAGGATAAAACAATTAAAAAAAAATTTTTTTTTTTAAAAATAATAACACACAAGTGTTCCCTCTGTTTGGGTTCCAGCCCCAGCCCTGCCCCCTCCAGGCTGGGTGACCTGGGGCAGGTGACTAACCTCTCTGAGCCTCAGTGACATGGACGGTGGGTCAGCATTCCCTGGTGCAAGACTGTGTGAGGTCAGAGGGAATAGTAGGTGCTCATTAAATGACATCATCAGCTCATTCATGACATCACTCATGTCTAAGGTCTCCCACGGCACCTGTACGTCCTGATTGGGGTCTCGGTGGCCCTCATCCTGCTGCTCTTTCTCCTCCTCTTCCTCTTCTTCCGACACCAGCGTCAGGGCAAAGGCCGGACATCAGGTGAGTTAGCGAATGGGGTGACCTGGGTCACAGAATGGGGCGCTCACATGACCCGCCACAGGAAAATCTAATAGCTGGAGGTCAGCGGAGAAAAAGATTCCTCCAGAATCTCACATCAGGAAATCGAGAGAGAAAACACTCCACGTCAGCACAGATGTGCAGATGTGATTAATCTTCCATCGTTTTCAATGTCATGAACTGCGAAACATGCGCACAGTGTATGCTAAGGTTTCCTTCTTTCCTGCGGAGTCGCACGGGGATGGGGCTCCTGACCTCCCAGGGCTGGTGCTGTCCCGCTTGGCCAGCCCAGAGAGAGGCTCATGTCCAACCTCCTGCAGGGGCCACAGACCCAGAGCCCAAAACCAGAGACCTGCAGTTCGATAACCCCTGCCCTGAAGACGGCAGACGTTCACCGACCATGCTCCCACTTTGCCCTTAAGACTTCAGTCTCCTCCCCCAGCTCCATCCCACTGTGGACGCCCAGGAAGAGCCCCTCTGTGAGAGGAAGAGACAGCTGCCTGGGGAGGGGCACAGGGATTCCACGAGGCAATGGGCACGATAGGCTGGGATGAAGTAGGGGGTCAGAGGTGACAAGGACTAAAGTCCACATGAGGGACTTAGTGCCTCACCTCACCCCTGGGTTAGTGGTCCATCTGGGAGCAGGAGGAGTCTGCAACCCTGAGAACTGGGGACCCTGTCAGGAGACACACTCTGTTCTGCTCCAGCAGATGCTGCCATGAAGGACCCACAGCCTGGGGTAAGCGTGGAGCTGGACTCTCAGGTGAGACCCTGCTTCTGCCAGGCACCAAGGACCTCATGTTGCCCCGTTAGTCCAATGGCACTCTTCCCTGTCCTCACATCACCTGGTTCTCAGCAGTGTCCACACTGACCTCTGCTTCTGGGCCCCAGGTCGTCCTGCTGTGACTCACTGCTCCTGCTTTCCTTGTGACCTCATGACCCCTCCTCTTGTGGTCCCCTTTGCTAGCTCCTCGTCCTCTGTCTGACGCTGTGCAGCCCCAGGTTTCAGGAGATGCATGATAAGTGAATCCTTCCAAGGTCCCCAGGATCCCCTCTTTCATTCACCCAGCAGATAGGACGACGAGCCCATTGTTCACAGATGCTTTTAGGTGCCGCGGTACAGCCCTGAGCAACACTGTCTCCACCCTCCTCGAGCTCACCTGTGGGTGAGGGGGACAGTATGCAAACAGTGACAGTGTCCCAGAGAGCAAAGTGCTGTGAAGGGAAATAAAGCAAGAGGAGGGAGTAGAGTACGTGGTGGTGGTAGGAAATAGGGGACAGGGAAATTAACAGGTGCGAAGGTCCTGAGGCAGTACATGCTTCTTCAGAAGATGGGCCATGTGGCTGGAGAAAAATGACAGAGAGAAAGTATTTTAAGACAAGAGTCAGAACCTTAGGAGCATCCAGATGCCCCAAGGCTTAGGAACCATCAGGAGAGGGACCTAATCTATTCAAAGTTAAATCATCACCCTGGCAACATGTGCATAATGACTGATCTACAGTGGAATCAAGGGGACACTGTTTCTGTCTCTCTGTCTCTCTGCAGCAGAACACGCACTATGAAGACCCCCAGGAAGTGACGTACACCCAGGTGAACCCCTCAAGATCAAGACCCAGGAACGGGAATGGACACCTCTCCTTCCTCACAGTCAAAGGAATTGCTAGACGCAAGGGGCAGACAAGCAGAGAAGGACAGACGGATGGACAGTCAGGTGGGTCCCATCCCCTCCACCCATCCAGGCTTCCCCCACATCCACCATGTTTCATCCCTCTCACCCTCCCCCTGCCCCAGGCTGCTGCATCGGATGCCCCCCAGGACGTAACCTATGCCCAGCTGAACCACTTGGCCCTCAGACGGGAGGAACCTGAACCCCGCTCCTCCCCACCAGAGGAACCCCCAGAGGAGCTCAGTGTGTATTCTACTGTGGCCACCCACTAGCCCAGGGAGATCACAGACCCCACACTACAGGAGACGGACCCCACAAAACATGGGAGCTTCCCACATGGACACTCAACAAGTGACCCCGGCCATTTGGACACCTGATGTGAACCCCTAGAAGCTCCTGGAATTCTCTGGGAGTCATCGGATTCCACAGTCAGACATAACCAATAGCTCTACATTTTGAAATCAAAGCAACAGACTCTTCAATAATCAATGCATGAATTTAGAACCAAAATGGGAGTGAGAGAATGTTTTAAACAAATGATCATGTAAATATTACACATCAAACCTATGAAATGGAAAATTAAGAACCATGAATGAATTCATTAGGAAAGATAAAGGTGAACACATAGAAACAACCTACGTGTTCCACAGATGACAAGACAAATATTACTCGGCCACAAAAAAATGATATATTGTCCATTGCCACAACATGGATGGATCTTGAGAGTATCATGTTAAGTGAAATAAGTCAGTCAGAAAAGGACAAGAAATACATGACTTCACTCATATGTGAGTGAAATCTGAAACTCTGAACTGTCCTGTATATTAAATATATTGAAACTGTGATTAAAACTTTTCCACCCAGCCACTGTGGCTCAGTGGTTGAGCGTCGACCCATGCACCAAGAGGTCACTGGTTCGATTCCCAGTCAGGGCACATGCCCAGGTTGTGGGCCAAATCCATACTGTGGGGCATGCAGGAGGCGGCCCATCAATGTTCTCTTGCATCAATGTTTCTATTTATCTCTCTCCCTTACACCCTTTCTAAAATCAATATTTTTAAAAAATTTTTAAACTCTGCCTGTAAAGTGAATTCAGAATTTGAAGAGCTTCTCTGCTAAATGCTTCTAAACACTTACGCGTGTATGAAATACACACACATGGACATACACATGGACACACACAGACATACACATAAACATACACACACAGACACACCAACATGCACAAAATCCAAAACAATATGCAGATCTATTATTCTATTTTGAAAAGGATTTATCCAATATCACTGGGTACATTATTAATATATAAAAATCAATTGCATTTCAGACTTCCTGTTTTAGACCAAGGGGTGGTAAATGGATGCCTCCCTAACCACCCATAAAGCACAGTAAAACTCCTGGTCATTGTATATACAGCAAATATAAGCCCACTCCTGGCTTGGGCCGGAGCTGAGGTGTGAGGTGTGGCCTCCTGACCGCTGAGGGCCACTCCAGATGCATGGCAGCTACTACTGGTGCCCCGACAGCAGCTCTCCTCCCTCTCCCCTGCTCCCCGCCTCCCAGCCTCGCCCCCCTGACCTGCAGGCCTCTAGGACCACAGAACCTCTACAAGGCATTGGTTGGTCAAGTGTGTGCCATGCTGCTATTGTCATTCTTGCTCGAATTGGTTGCTTGGGGTTGATTGACAACTCCAATGTTAACTGCAAAGGAAGATTTCAAGATGGCGGTGGAGCAGGTGGAAGCTACACTCACCTCCTCCCAGGACCAAGCTGCAATGACAATCACCCGGGATAACCAACTGGCTACCAGCTGAGGAGGAGTCTTATAACCAAGGATTTACAGAAGAAGCCATGGTGAGACTGGTAGGAAGGGCAGACATGTGAAAAGGGCTGGCTCCATACCCATGGATGGCACCGAGGTTCCAGGAGGAATATCTCAGCTGCAAGGTGGGAGTTCAACCTAAGAATGTGGGGCCTAAATTTCAGACCACGCTCCCAGCCCAGAGAACCACAGCCGAGAAGAAGCACCCACATAACACCCAGCTATGAAAAGCAGCAAGATTTCTGTCTGTCAGGGAGAGACAAAGTCTGCTGGAGACACAGACACCCACTTAAACAGCAAAAGCACAAAATTTTCTTCTCAGCTACTCACCCTGAGCTCCAGTAGAGAGAGGGTGGAGCAGACTAGAGTCCTATGAGGAGAGTCCGGGTTTGTGCCTCGGGTCTTGGGGGGAGGGACTGAGGAGAGAGCCACCAGGATCCCTGTGCTGAATCACTCTTCCCTATCACAGATGCCATCTTTCTTGGGTGGAGCATGTCCCTTGGTGCGGCATCAGCCTGGGAAAAGCAACTGCCCCACAATGTGGAGTCCCGCTCATCCCAACCTGCAGAGCTTAGGCCCTGCTGAGGAGCCAGCTGCCTTGCCCAGGGTGTAGAGATCTGGGCAGACTCAGGGTGTCAGTGACTGAAATGTCTGGCTTTGGGGCAGCACCATTCTACACACACACACACACACACTTTCCCATGAACCTGACTTAGGCTTCCCCCTCATGGGAGACCTGATAAAACCACCTTCCCAGCTTGTGGCAGATCCAACTTCCAGGCTCCAGAAGCCCCACGAATCTGACTCCTAGTGGCTCCTCTTTGCTGAGGTCAGAGCAAAATCCAAGACAGACTGGGTCCTGTGGCTCTGGGAATGGGGACCACACCCACCACCTTCCCTGAAACCTGACTGGCACCTCTCCCTCATGGGAGATCTACTAGCCCCATCTTCCTGACTCCAGCAGAGGCTCTTTCAGTGACTGAGCATAACAGGCAGCCAGCAGGCAGAGGCAGGCAGAAGCAGATCCCGGGGTACCTTGGGACTTCTGATGACCTGCCCCTGTGCCCAGTGCTGAAAATAATCAGCCTTGGTACACAGCTTGGTCCTTCCTACATGCACCCAAGCCCAGCAGAGACAGCCATACATTGCATCGCTTGTAGCTTTAAACAGGTTGCAAAGGGCCAGTCACAGACAGCATCTGAGATTGGCCTGCCCCAGAGTCCCTCTCAAGAGGCT